GCGGAATGTTTTCTCATAAGGCCCATGTTAAATTTTCAAAAGTTTGTACTCATATTATGGCGAAAATAGAATTTTCCCGGCTATACCACTGGTCTAGAACTTTTTTTGACCCAGAACTTAGTTATTCCGTAAAAATACACGTTTTTGTTAATGCGGACTTGCATTTGCTATTTTATATTCAGGTTGGATTTATTTAAAACTAAACATAAAAAACTCATTCGTGGTCCAAAAATCCCCCTCTTCCAAGTAAGGCTATAACGGCACATTGCAAAACGAGAAAGTTGAAATTCTCAGAAGTCATCTGATTGTTCCTCACCTCTGCGCGCATCCCTTGCAGTGATTCAATGGTGTCAGATTCAGACCAGCTTGTCGAGCGACTCTGTCGAGTGCTTGAAACTGTGCGAATGTAGTCTTCTTCTATAGAAATAAAATTACAGTTTTGTCTGTCCATTGCGTAGAATCATGCAGTTTTTGGTTATTTTTACGTTTCTAGGCTATGAAGGCTCAAACGAGTCTTATCTTAATTTCTGTCTGTCTGTCTTTCTGTCATTCTGTCTGTACCAACAAAATGTAAATTTACGCTGCCTACTCCGAGAAAACTATATTACCGATTATGATTCAAATATTTTTCCTGCATTCACTGGATTGGTTATAGTGAGTTTGGCTATTAAAATATGGCCTCGCTACTTTGGAATAAAATAATGAACCATCAAATTCTGCAGGTTTGCTTCGGCGGTGGTATTTCACTGTTAGTAGGGTAGTGATTAATATTAAAAAAAGTATCACAATTTAAAACTTATCTTGCCTGCTATAGTTGGTAGATAATCAAAAATAGGATTTTTCAAGATATGTTTGGCCTACAGGATGTTTTAGCGAATTGTATCACTCAGTTTATAGGCCAACGTAAACTAAATTTACTCCCATGTGCCTATGGGAGTTTTGGTTTTTCTTTTCCGAGTTCGTTTGGCTCTTCCACCCGACCGATTTTCATGATTGAAGCCTCAAATTGAAGGTATGCACGCAGAGATTTCACATCAAGTATCAGCATATTGATATTTATTTATTTAATAATGGTATTTATTTCAATACTGAGGGGCAGCATAGGTCCTCTAGTCTTATATATATGTATTTAAAAAAAATGGTTTTTATTTTCCGAGTTCGTTTGGCTCTTCTACCCGACCGATTTCCATGATTGAGGTCTTATGTTTAAGGAATGCTCGCACAGATTTCACATAAAGTATCGGCAATACTTATCTAATGTATTACTCCACCAAAAATATATATTTGACTTTTTTTAAATTTCTACTTCGATTTAAGATGCATTTCACCAGTTACAATGTTATCTAATCCTATATATTTTGGTCTAAGAACCTTCAGTGAAATACCGGCTTTAATTTAAGCTATTAGTTATTGAAATCGGACGAGTTTCAAGCAAACAGAAGATGAATAACCAAAATAAAACTTATTTTTCATAAGGTTTTTCTATGGTTAAAAACCAATAGTTCCACTATTATTTATGTTTTAGATTTAAAATAATCTGTGAATTATATTAATTTGAGCTATTAATCTTTGGCTTTAATTTTAACTAACTATTAATCTTTTGAAACAGTTAAGTCCAAGATACTGTATTACTCGATAAAAAATCTTAAATTTGACATAAATCAAAGGCATATCTTTTAGTGGAGACCTAGGTTTCTACGTCAAAACGTTATCGTCAGTCCTGTTGTATCATAAATTTGATTATTTCTCGGATATGCTATGTTATTATAAAGCTGCGTAGCAGCACGAGTCCGCTAGTTTTGTTTGAATTTCAAATCACACTTAATTTTATATAGTTAACCCTCTATCTAGTATTTGTCCAAGAAAGGACACGAAAAGTTGACGTGTGAGATAGCAATGTCATGTTTTTACATTTCGGACATTGGACAAAACAATTAAATATTGTAACCAGCAAACGGCCTCAAACCGTAAAAAGAAAATTCAACGCTGGAGGACACGTGTTGAGAACATTTGGTTTTTCTTTAATTTACGCTATAATATAGTATAAAACATCTACCATATCCATAATAATGTTATAATACATAATAATGTTATGTCCATAATAATGTCAGAACACTGAGTCAATGTCTTTTCCCCGGTTATCAACCCAAAACTCAATAGAAATTGTATACACAAAGAAGCTCTATTTTCATTTACGGTTACCCTACACATTATTGCACTTGCGATTAATTAAATCCGTTGTGTAAGGAAAAACGGTTTTAATCCAACTTAGTTTGGATTTGCTTTTGAAACTTGATCTAAAATGATTGCGGTATTTGTAAACAATATTCAATGTAAACATATAATCTTGATCCGAACAGCTGTTCGCTATTTCATATGATGATTATGTGATAAACATTGTGAGAAAACTTGACAAAAACGCACAAAATTGGGTTTTAAACGTCCGTAAGTTTTTTTACAAAGTAGTGAGGCCATATTTTAATAGCTAAAGACACTTTCGCCAATCCAGTGAATACATTAAAATGATTCGAGGATCTTGATAGGTACTCTCGTTTTTCAGGAGAAGGCCGCGTAAAATGGCCTTTGGACCGTGACAGACGGAAGATAGACAACAACGGAATTGAGATAATAATTGATGATTGAGATAATAACGGAATTGAGATGAAACTTTTTTCGGATTCTTGAATGTTTAAAACGTAAAAATAATCTAAAAATTGATGATTCTGAGCAATGTACAGACAAAACTCTAATTTTATTTATATAGATTAGTACCTGTGGTGATTTTTATTAGAAATTTATTGAAGTAAATAAACAGCAAAGTTAAAAAACATCCGACCAGTGTTTTTATTTAAAAAGTACGTAGGCCTATTTGATTGGCTTTGTTTTCTGAACTAAAATATCTATTTCCTGATCTATTTTTAGTTCCTGGTTTCGAAACATAATTTGGCAAAACAATTATTTATTCATTAAACAACTTGATCGAAAAATAATTTCTAAACATTGGAGGACAATTAAAAAACTTTCGAATTCTAATAAACCTAGCTGCCGTACCTGTGTTTTACATCGGAGAGTATTTTGAAGAGAAAAAGTTTGATACGCGTCACATATTTCAAATCCCACTCCAAAAACGTCATGTTAAAACGTTTACATCCATAAATTAAGAAAGTCACAATCTCCAATTAACAGGCCCGTAGCAAAAGTTAAAAGTTTCACAAATCGAATAGTTTCTACCTTTTGGACCGCAAAATCAAAGCACTGCATTGACAGCATTTACAGCTGACTTCGTTAAACATTCTGTTATCTACATTCTTCAAAAATGTAAACATTGTGAAACTTTGGAATCCCATGAAGCGTAACTCAAAGAAAACACAGTAAATGTAATCGGTATATTTGTTAACCAGGTACAGGGCTACCTCTTGAATTGATATAGATAATAAATCGAAAAATAAAGAAATATAAGTTGATTGATTATTGGCTCTTACAAAAGGGTAAACAATCAAGGAAAATGATTTAATTAAGTAACCACACATCACTGAGTCTATATCTTCATTCTTTCTTGTAAAAATCGCTTTGATTGTGGCTATATAAAGTAGGGAAGTAAGATTTCACTGTACAACGAGCTCAAAAAGCTCGAGAACCAGCAATAAGATGGAAATAACCGGCAGAACCTTTAACCATCCACTGGCTCGCTAGTCGCTACCCCAGGTCGGTCGGTAGCCGGGTAGCCCATCAATGGAACCCGTTAGGCCCGCCCCGACCTCTCGCCGCAAGAGAGACAAGAATTTTGCCTTGTTCCACGCGCCTTTGATTGTTTGAGGCGGGAAAACTATTTGTGTGCTACGGCCCGTGCAACACAAGATATTGTTTTCGTATTACTTGGCCTTTTTCCAAGATGACCGGGACCGTTAACTTATATTATGGACTCCCTTGGAGAATAATTCAAAACTACAAAGAACATTTCTAATCCCACAGTATACTGGCTATTTAAATTATAAACACTTTGGTGTTTGAAAAATATTTTTGGACGATAAATTTTGCAGCTATTTAAAATCATCCAAGATGGCCGCTTGCCTCCAAGGACTCAACAATAGGCCTAATTGTGCGACTATGAAGCAATAACTTCCCACCTTGCGCTTGCGAATTAGTTCGGTACATATTTGTATCCACAGTTGCCAGGACGAGTATTAAGACGACCAAAGATTACATTGACATTTAGGTATTTAATCTGTAGAATAGTAATTGTTAAGAAAACTGGAAGACAACTAATTAAAATGAAGTGCGAAAGATGGGTTATGAGAGTGCTCAATTCCTGAAGCATAATCCGTTTGTTTGAGGTGCGAATTTTCAAGCTTGTAGAACAAATAAATATCACAAAGTAGAAGGGCAGGGGTGAAAGTGACTGAAGTGACAGGATACCCGGTGGATTTTCAGTGACTGGATTCCAGTGGTATGCGGTAAAATATATAGTGACTGGCTTAGCAGCACAAATTTTACGTGACTGGCTTTCCCATGCAAATGCGGTGGTGACTGCATTAGCATAGCATTTTTTACGTAATTATATTTTAGTATTTTTAAGAAAAAAAGAGATATATACGTTCAGATATGTCTAGGCTTAAGATATTTACCAATATATATAATATATATATCATAGTCTTGAAATATATTGGGGGGTGCAACTGACTGACTTCCAGTGTATATTTTATGTGACTGGCTTCCCGGGCGCGGCCGTGTATATATAAATATATATATATATATATATGAATTTGAACGGATGGTGTTTTTGGCCTCTAGGGACCTCAAAACGAATAAAAAAATCGGTCCCGCGTCCAGGTCTTACCATGAGTACTACGGTAATAGCTTATTCCCTATATGGGAAATTCGCTAAAAAAAGATAGTTTGATAAATATTTTAAATGAGTGAGCCTATGAATGAGTAGCAATGCTGTCTTGGTAGCATAGGGTATCTTCACAACACAGAACACCAACACAACATCACCATACCTTGTATATCTGCGAGTCAGGCTCATTGTACTTGCAGGCGTTGTCAAACATGAGAACAAAATCTGCCACAAGATCGTCCAAGTTTTCATAGGAACCGACCTTGAGTTTCTGGGCAATCGATTCCATGTTGGTTGGTTTTTTTATCACTTCGTAGTAGTCTGGATACTCCTGTAATTTACAACACATTGCTTTAGTAAAATGTACTAAACGTTAGCAATGCATTAATGATTTTTATTGTTTACTAGCTACTAAGTGCTGAAAACATTTGATTAATTTTAATATTAATAAAAGTTGAAATGAGTCAGCTCTAAGCCAATAAAATTTACTATTGCACAGCCGTAAGCAAATGATTGCAAATTCAAGCGGAATAAATGTGATTTTTTTTTGTTTAAGTAAAGATTTTAGTCAAAATAAACTACCTTATTATTAATTTTATGTATGGTGAATAATATTTGTTCTTGGTATGGAACAGTAACTGAAAAGATAACTAAAGGGCACTATCTAAACTATAAGAAAAAAATAAATCTAGTTAAATACGTATACTACATTAATATAATGCATAGCAGTACAATAAAGATGTTAACTCACAATCTTTGAAGGAAGCTTGTTGAAAATCACACTCAGTTGACGATTATTTTTGGGATCCTTGTAGTCTTTAATGGTGTTAAAGAATGTTCTCATTTTGGCGTAGTCTTTCCCATAGTGGCCGGGATTTGGTGTTATCTTTCTTGGCTTTGGTGTTAATCTGTAAACAATGGTGATTTTATTTCTTTGTTTGAGTGAATGTAAAATAATTGAAAAAATAATATAGAGCATTAATTACTACGTAGCACATTACTTCTTGACCACATAGCACAAATGTTAACAACAAATAGCCTAACTATTTTGGTGTCTCATTAAACTTTTAAAAAGCTTTAAAACTTGTAAAACTAAACTTTTTAATTGTTTTGTTAGAACTGAGCAATTACTGTTTTTAATTTTTGTTTCAGGGAATAGAAATCAGGCTGCGATCCTGTTTTCATTATTGAAACTTGAAACATTAGTGAGAAATATTTGTGCTTCCTTTCAGAATTACAAAATGGCAGAAGATAAAACCACATCTGATGATGTGATTTTTGTGTGTGCTTATAGTGTAGTTAGTTTTGATTTCATTAAATTTATGCCACATACTTAAGACTCAAAGCCCCATTGTTGGAGGGACATAAAGTTTTATTGTGATTTGTTTCTATTATGAAACATAAGGGAGCTGTTTGAGTAGTAGAGTGTGGGACTTCGGTCTATGGAGTCCTCGGTTCAAATCACACCAGTCACCAATTAATCTTATTTATGTGAGTGTTGTAACTCTTTAGGCCTTGATCTAGTAATATGTAAATCAATTTTTGGCTCAAGCTAAAAAACATCTGGGTATATTAATAATAAAAACAAATCCCAATTAATTTAATATTGTATTTAATTTAAATTCCGCTAATCACCAATGGAAGTAATGTGTTAAACGGTTCCGGGCATAGGATGTGAAGGTAATCAATGTGTTTTAATTGTAATCATGAAAAAATTGCATGGTTTGTACATAAAATTGCATTGTATAAATAAACACCATTCCACATGGGTGAAACTGGACAGAAAAACAAAGATTCTACAACAAAGCTGCAACTCCCTTATTTGTTTGCTTTTGTTGGAAGACTGACATTTGCATGATTACGTAGGCCTCTGCCTGTACATTGAACATGTGAAAGGGGTAAAAATTTTAATGCCAATACAATGAACGAACGACACGGTAGGCCTACTGACAAATAGTATTGATAGCAATAGCACTGCAAATCAACGACATTGCTACCTTAGATGTGCTGTCGTCTCTTATTACTAATTGAACCACCGACAGTACTAAACTAAAATTTTACATCAACTATATTTGTATTTACGAGGGTTGTTTTTTTTAAGTAAGGGCCGTTTGTGTATACGCCCAGGTTTGCGTGTACGCCACAACGAAGCTCCTCGTCGCTTACTGGCATCATTTGTGAACAGAATGGCGCCATTTGCAGGTTTGCAGCTGATGTGTACACGTTGCTGTGTGTTTAGAAAAGTTTTAAAATGATTTCATCTCCTGCCGCATGTGAGATAAGGATAGTGATGTGTATTTTTACCACAAGTATCACATCTGATGCCACCATTTATCGCTAGATGATTGAAGGTTATGGCCCCAGTGCAATGATTGAGTGTAATGTGCTGAGATAGGATAGGTAAAGTAAAAATGGCTGTGAAAACCCTTTTCCTATGTGATCAGTAAACAGTCTGTTATTCACCAAACCACAAATCTTTCCTAAATGAACATTTTGACGGACAATTTTAACTCCCTCACCCATTTCTGCACTTTACCCTTTATCATTGGACTAAGGCCAAGGAGCTATAATGAGCCTGGTAACAAATTTGCCACTATTGACTCACGTGCGAGGTGCTGACTTCTTGGCCGAGCTGCCAGGAGTGTCAGGTAGAGGGCCCAGCTCCTTCACTCTGCCCATCAGTATCTTCTGCAGCTTGATGGCATCATCATAGATCATGCTGCCCTCCTCATTGTAGCGCTTGCAGTTGTCAAACATCAGCTGAAACACAACACTATAGTATAAATAAATGAAACTGCCTTTATTTAGCAAGCGTTCCTCAGTACATACTGCTTTACCGGATAACTCTTCCCTATGTCTGTCCATATTTGTTTGACACATCGGTCGCGTAAAGATAGTTTTAACGAGACGAGTAGAAATTTATGTTACAAGCCTTGGCGAGTGCCTTAGAAACTTCTTCTCTTGTCATTAAGGCTATTTACACGGGTTGCGTACACTAATTTACCTACTAAAGTTTTTTAATTACAGTAGAGTCCTGCAAACTCGGCGTAATGTGGACTGGAAGGGTGCCGAGTTTGAGAAATGCCGGGTTATCGGGAACTAGGGTTGAAATGAAGAACAATACAATTTTGTTAGGCTTTTGAACTGCCTCCTTTATTTATATTTATATTATTAGTTAGTATTAAGTCATCAGATATAGTAGGCTACAACATATCCTTGGTACAAGCTGCGAATGATTTGACTTGAGCTGGCTTGAGTCCATGTTCAACTCGGACTCAAAAAATCACAAATTTTCTGAGCCAGGTTATCCAGACTGCCGGGTTATCGAGTGCCGAGCTTGTGGGACTCGACTGTACTAATAATCACTACTCATAACATCTAAGAGAGGTTATGTTTTTGTTTATAACTTCTCATTACCACTGACAGTGATGCAATGAATCATTGTACAAAAGACTAATTGCATCACTCATTAACAATTAAATAGGCCTGAACAGATGATTAGTTGAATTGAAGTTGATGATTAGTCAGTAAAAGAGTATTGCATTATTATTTTTACCTTGGAAATTAGTTTTGAACCCAACTAAAATGCACAATTTATGCATGGGCCCCCTTGTCTTTGTTAAAAGTTTTGCATAGTCACATTGCCCAACTCGAGCTGACCAGAGTGATTTCTACCAATAGTTTACCTTGAAGTCACTCAGTATCTCTTCCTCGCACTGGTACTTCTCCGCCTTTATGTTGGACTCTATGGTGAGCATGTCTATGGGGTGGTCTATGACCTTGTAATAGTCAGGGTACAGCTTCTTGCTGGGCTTCTCCATAAACATCAGCATTGGTTGTCGCCCATCTTCACACTGCAAGGATACCAAAAGATCACATCCATGTTGTGACAACGGTGCAAATAATAGTTATTTGTGCAACTAGTGAGCAAAGTTGAACTTATAAACAAGAGAAAAATGTTGACAGTCAGGGCTTGCCAAGGGTATTGACATTTAATAATTTTACTTAATACTACTTTACTTCCACTATTTACAGGATTAGAAACAAAAGGGTCCAGAGGAATCAATCTTCTGGCAGGAGTATACACCTATGATTCAGAGTTCATGTTTCAGAGTTCACCGAGTACACATCGTCCCCAGTGTGGATATTTTTTGATAGTGCGGGCATTAGAATTGGCAGAGTTTTAATTTCGCTATTGTGATCCCATGTGTTTTTACTGAGGTTTAAATTTACTTATCGCAATTGTTGTATCATCATTTTAATTTTCACACTCTAAATAATTATCAAAATGACAAATTGTAGTCAGTGTAACGGTAAACCGTCCTAACAGTCGCATAAGATAGTGTGTGTCAAGTGAAACAAATGTTTTCAATTAAAACGTATTAACAGACAAAAACTCACCTAGATGCATTGGTGAGTAAACATTTTGAGTGGCAACTTTACATGATATCAAGAAAGAAATTTTGGAGTTGAAAAAATCGCACACAGAGACTCGGTGAAAGACTTTAACAAAACCAAGGATAACATTTTTGAAAGGATTGACGAGTTGAAAGATGTTGTTGAATCCCAGCAGAATTTATTACAGGCCTATATCGAACGAACTGAGAACCTAGAAGCTGAGAATCGGAAACTCCGTCAGGAACTGGAGGATGCCTGACGTATCGAGGAAACCGAGCACCATACCAGGGTAACTGCATCAAAATTCATGGAGTCCCCAACACAAGCAGTGAAAACGTCGTGGATATTGTAAAGAAGGTAGGAGCTGCAATAGACTTTGAAGTTACAGACTCGATGTTGGACAATTGTCCTTGTCTAGGGAAATCTTTTCGGGAACGTCCGGCAGGAATTATTGTCAAATTTGTCCATCAGATGGGTAAAGAAAATTTCCTCGCTAAGAAACAAGGAAAAAAAGACTTGTCAACTCATCATATGAATCTCGGCACCGACCATCCCTGTATGTCAACGAGTCCTTGTGTTCGTCACGTCGGAAACTCTACGGCCAGGCCCGACAGATAAAAAAAGACAAACATTACAAATACACAAATACATATGGCTGTGAGGCGGGAAAATTCTACTCAAAAAGTCCGACCACGGTCCAGTGATATCTGTTGCGTGTCACCGTGACCTGGCCTAATTAATCTTAGCTTCAATACTGGTCAGTTTCCAGAAGCATTAAAACTGGCAGTAGTAATTCCAAACAAGATGTAACTCCTTTATTTAAAAAGGGGGAGAAAAAGAAAATGTCTAATTATAGGCCAATTTCATGACATAAGTTTTTTCTAAGTTGTTTGAAAATTAAACTCATTAATTTGTTTAGCAAAATTGATTTTTTTAGTCCTTTCCAATATGGCTTTAGAGAGGGCAAAAGAACAGAAGATACGTTGATAGATTTTTTAAACTTTACCATGCAAAATCTCAATCAAGGAAAAAAAATAGCAGCCTTTTTTTAGAAATTTCTAAAGCGTTTGATAGTATTCAACACTCAATTCTATTAGAATTGTTGTTGAACAGTGGTATTAGAGGTGTAGCTCACACAGTGTGTAAAATTGGGAGATTATATGAGTGAGTGGAAGGTAATAAAACATGGGGTGCCCCAAGGCACAGTTTTAGGTCCTATCCTTTACTTAGCGCATGTAAATAGTCTTTGCAATGGTAAATTCAAAGTTTCATTTGCTGACGACACTGCTTTAACATAATTATATCAGTACAAATTGTGACCAAAATAAGTCTGCTATATAGGAAAATTTGATTAAATTAAATATGTGGTTTTAAAAAAATAGAATGGTTTAAGTATTGTAAAAACTAACTTCATTAATTTTTCTTTGAGCGCTCATGAAAATACTTTTGATGAAGTTGTATATAGGTGTACTAACTGTAATGCAACTGTACTAATGTAAGAGTCAACTCTACAAAATATCTAGGTTTATATTTGGACGAGCTGTTTACATGGAAGGCCCACATATCGCAGCTACAAAAAAAATTGAATTATGTCCAAAGAATATTTTCTCAAATACATTATGTATATTTGTACATGTACATATGTATATTTTATTTCCTTTAGATACGTCTAAAAAATTATATTTTTCTATGGTACAAAGTAGAATGATGAAATATGCCATAATTTGTTGGGGAGCTGCTTATTTATAAAATTTAACATGTTTACAGGTTGCAAAAAAAGGTTTATTAGGTTAATTAATTTAGAAAAAAAGTTTGAGCATTCTTGGCCTTTGTTTTTTACCGAGAGTAAATAAAATAAACGTCTTATAACGTTCTTTTATTTACTCTCGATAATTTAATAACACATACAATGCTGATCAAGAAGTTATTTTGTTTTTTAGTTTAAAGATTTTATCCTTAAAACATTTGTACATTTATAAGGTTTTAAATATGTTCTACTGCAGAAGTGGAAATATGCCAATTAGAATTAATAGATTGTTTACGTTCTGGTTTATCTTATTGTATTCCAAGGTCTAGGAGAACATGTTTTAGTAATTCTTTCTCATATATCGCTCCAATAATATTTAATAATTTGCCTGTGAATATTAAGACAGCCCTAAATGCTTCCATATTTTTGAAAAGGGGAAAAAATGTTATTTACAATAAATGATGTGAGAGATATATTATGTTTTAAAAGTATGTTTTTATAGTATAAAAAATATCAATTACATTTATTTTGTGTCTCTAGTAGTTAAGTTTAACTACACAAAATTACCCTCTTTTGATTTTTTTTTCAAGTTACAGTATTTTCCTTTGTTTATGATGCTCACAAGAGTTTTTTTTAGTTTTTTTAATGTATATTTTTGTGATACGAAATTGGTTTAGTACTGGATTAACTTAATGTTAATAGTGTGTAATTAAGTGATGGTAACCTAAACACATGGTTTCCACTAAAGAGGTACCTATATTTCCACAAATGTTTGTAAAGATACATTGAACAATTGGTAAATATGGAAAATAAGCCGATTTATTTTTTTCTTTCATTTACAATTTGCATCGATAGCCAAGCAATAATCAAATTTAGCCAAACGCAACACAGAGGGACTCACCGTGTAGTCTATAAGGCACTTGCATAGAGAGTAGAGTCTCCGCTTCAGTGGTATGTTGTCCAGGTACTTGCCTCTAGTCAGACAACGAGTGCTGCCTCTGCTGGTCACCACAGTCTTGGGAGGAGGCTCATCTCCTCCACTGTCATCTTCACTGTCAGAGTACTGCCACACAAACATCATAAAATCACTACAAGCAATCTTATGAAGAAATCTGCAGTACACTGGAAATTTGTATTGTTTTTTTGCATGAAACGTATTCAGCAAAACAATGGCTGAGCCGGTGCAGCACAAGCGTGAACTGTACTGGTAAAATTTAGTGGCGGCCACCAGGTTGCAAACATATAATTTTTTTTATAAATTAAATATTGTATTTATTCATTTATTCTATTTGAGGACTAATGTTGTGTACATAAACTATCCCGGAAGTTTTATTGATTACATTTTTTTACTTTCTCCCCCTATACCATAGTATATGGAGAAAGTATTGTTTTCGTCAAAATTTTCGAGTTTGAGTTTTGAGTGGATATATTCGTTTTGGGTCCCCCTGGACCCAAAAAAGTGGTTTTCGAAGTGATGTCTGTGTGTGTGTGTGTGTGTGTCTGTGTGTGTGTCTGTGTGTCTGGATGTGTACAGAGCTAGAGACTACACCTGTGGTCCGATTTTGATGAAATTTGGTATGTAGGTTCTAACCCATGGTATCTCCAGGCGTTTTTTTCATTTTTTTGAAATTTTGATTTCTAATGGGGATTTTCCCGTAAAAACCCATAAAAAACCGGAATAGTCTGATTTTCTCAAAAATGGCCCGAACGATTTTGATAAAAAATTAGTATGTTATAGCCCTTTAAATTCTGAACAAAATGGTACAAATCCCATTTCTGTAAAAATTACGGTTCAAAAGTTATTGAAAATTATGTTATTTTCCCATAAAAACCCCATAAAATAACAAAAAATAGGATTTTAGACAAAATCCGGTTTTGATTTAACATAGTATATTATGGTCATTTTGATAGTTTTTTTTAGGGATGGACGAGATTGGATTTTTAGTTCGAGACGAGACGAGACGAGATTTTTTATTTCTCATAAAATTTCGAGACGAGATCGAGACGAGATTTCTCTTCTCATACACAACGGGAAATGCACGTTCGAAATTTTTACCTGATTTTGTAACATTGTTAGATGACTGTTTAAATACTAAAATAATGATAATAGGCAAGAATATTTACAATCTTTCATTAAATAACATCAGCATAACATTTTTTTATTAATCACGCCTAACTTATTAAAAATGCCTACGATTAGGAAACATGGTGATATCAGTTAGGATAGAGTTTAACTTATCCTAAAATAAAATAAATCATAAAATAAAAGCAATATTAAATTTTATAAAATAGTTACTTGTTTTGACTTTTTTTATAGTAATAAAACATTCCTCACACTGCTTACACTTAACAAAACTTCTCAAATGTTATTAAAGTAATATTATTAAAATAATGAAAGTAATATTTACATTAAAAGAATTAAAGTAATATTTACATTAAAAGAATTAATTAAATAAGAACGCCTTCGAAAAGGAAACGCAACTACAACACGCTCCTGTATTGCGGGTATTGCATTGACTTTCTGCAGGCGTTTTAAATTTTTTTTTTTTTTTTTTTTTTTTTTTTTATTCTCGTCTCGATAAAAATCTCAGCCAAAAAGTAATCTCGTCTCGTGTAACGAGATTGAAAATTTCCCGAAAATTTCCCGAAATTTCGAGACTTGACCATCCCTAGTTTTTTTTTACTTTTTAGAAATTTTTATTTTTAATGGGGATTTTCCCATAAAACCCCATAAAATAACGGAAAAATAGGATTTTCCCAAAAATGGCCCGAACGATTTTGATAAAAATTTAGTATGTTATAGCCCTTTAAATTCTGAACAAAATGGTACAAATCCCATTTCTGTAAAAATTACGGTTCAAAAGTTATTGTAAATTATGTTATTTTCCCATAAAAACCCCATAAAATAACGGAAAATCAGATTTTCCCACTATTGGCCCAAACGATTTTGATAAAACTTTAGTATGTTATAGTCCTTTAAATTCTTAAGAAAATTGTACAAATCCCATTTCCGTATATTTACTCTCACCGCTTACACATGATAAAGGTTGTTGACAAACTTATGGGAGAAAGTATGTGTCAGAATGCTGATACCGTTTATTATTTTCCTGTTTCAGATTAACATTAGCTATCAGTTAGCTGCTTTACCTGATGGTCCAGTTCCAGCAGTTCTTGCACCTTGGCCTGCATCAGCTTCTGCAGTTTCACAGCGTCCTTGTAGAGCCGCGAGTCTGCCCGGTTGTACTTCTTGGCGTTCTCAAACATTATGTTCATGTCTCCGGCCACTTCACTCACTGTTCCGTAGTCTCCTCTCTGTTAACAAAGCAATAACACTCTGAAAACATTGTTACCCATGTAACACAAAGTGATTCATAAGGATAGGCAGTAACTTGGAGAGCTTTTTTTTTTTTGGGGAGGGGGGGTAAATAAACAAAGAAGAAAACAAACTTATGGTTAAGGGCAAAGAATGTAGATTTTGTTCAAATTATTTTGAATTTTTACTCTTTCCTCAAAAACGATTTTTACAACACTATGATAATTGTTTCATTGCATCAGAAGTTTATAATAAGGTATTAAATTAAATTACTGCAAACCAAATTATAGTGTAGGCATACATATAGGCTTTATCTTGCGTTGACATAGTTAAATGCTGTTGTATACAAAATTTACCAAAAAAACCATATTAATGGATGATTATTGGGGATACAAATCAGTTTATTTCATCCATTAGTGAACTCGAAATAGTTAGCCAATTTATACTAGACAAAGTAGGTAAGTTGTTTAATAAGTAATTAAGATTTATTTAAAAACCACTCAATGATTAATTAATTGAGAGAGATCTCTGGTACAACGACAGTTCTAAACAGCTCTAAGCTCTAAGCTGACAGGTTGCCAAATATATTTGGAATGATTTGAACCAACGTCTTCCAAGTCCAACGCTCTAACCCCAAAACCAACAGTTGACCCTTTTAAGATTAACAAATATATTTTTATTAAATTGCTGAAAAAATTTAACAATGTTCTAATCTAATTCTAATGGAAGTAGGCTACATCATCTACCAAATTATTGTGAACATTATCTATCACGATAAATAAAAAAAGAAAGTTTTCACAACGTTTCAGGATGGAAAATGTCTGCAATAATCGGTTAGACTATGTGATCTTACCACTGTCAAAAATTAACTTCCAACAAAGAACTAATGGAGTTAGATTCAGCACATTAATCTTTTGAAAAGTCCAATCTTAAAAGAAAAAATGACCCAATCTTGAGGTTGAAGTAATGTTACTACGTCCTCAAAGAGAGTGCAAATTGAAAGTTTTAAATTAAATACATCAAAATAGAGTACTTTATTCCACACACTAACCTTCAATTTCTTTCCAATTTGCATTAATGAAAGAGGGTTCTTGATTTCTTTGTAGTAGTCAGGGTAGTAACGCTTGGAGGGTAGTTTCCAAAATGGTTCACTTAGCTCTTGACCTTTAGAAATGGGAAAAGGTTATTTATTTACATACAAAATATAAACAGGCCCCCTTTGGATTACAAATGGTTTATCCCTTTTAAGGGCCAAAATCAAACACCTGCATGCTGAAAATATAATTCATGCTTTGTTAACCGTTCCTGAAAGTATCAAAAACAAACAATTCTTTTAATCATAACAATTGCACTACTAATTAATAAATATATACCTTTTTAAAAGTAATTGTAATTCAAGGGACAGGACACTACACCTTGAAGAATAGGACTACCTACCAATGGGTTTTTTATTTGTTGGTAAAAGCATTTCAGTCGGATGACCTCAACAAAAGTAGACTCATGTAGAAGTTCAATGGTTCAATTCAATAAACTTCCCAAAATATTAAAACAGCTGCAGTCTGAAGTTAAAGAATAAACTTATTCTATAATTAATTGTGCCAACAATATTTACAGCCTGAGACACAGAATCAAATAACCCAACAATTATTTAAACAAGAAACTGAATCAACTAACCCAACAATTTATTGTTTAAAGTACGTTTACAAAATGGGCACAGATCAATTATATTTCTTTATTCAATGTGGTTAAAAGTAACTAAAAAATTCTTACTAGAGTTAATAGTGGACTTGGATAACCACACTCTGAAGAGGGCCGAAATCTGCTATTCCTTACCTTGAGCGTTACTTGCAGATTTGACTGCCAAGTACAACTGCCATTTAGGATTTTCCGCGTCTTCCTCAGTAACATGAACAAGTTCCTCGTCGGAATCATCATCGTCGTCTTTCAAAGCAGCCGTGATTGCGGACAGGGATTGGCCTCCCCGCAGTCGCTTGGCTCTGGAAACAGTGTCTTTCCGTTTACTGTAACGTTCAAGCCACACCCACAGACACCGACAGGGGACGACACATAGAAACAAAAAACAGGCAAACCAATGACCCAACAGGCATGGACCAAAAACAATCCAAAATTCCCCAAAACAATATAAAAACTCAAGGTGCGAACTAAAAAAAATATTTTACGGGCAATCAGTTTAAAATAAATTGAATAATGAGTTAACATTTGGCATACATGGTGGACAAAGTACTGTTTAAAACATTGAATCAAATAGCATTCAGGCATGCACACAATAAATATGTATCACCAAAACTAAGTAAAGATAGATTGATTAATATTTTCAAACAGGCCAGTTATCATCTTTCAGCAGACAGCATTACCATCTGCTAAATATGAATGTAAGATGAGTGTGTGTACGATGGAGTGTGATGATCTATGTTCAATAAAAGCATAAATACTATGTTCATTCCTTGTACTTTTCACATACTTTGTTTTATGTTTTTGGTCAACAAGCCCCAAAGATAGTGCACTTTATTTTTTAGTTAAGTAATTATTGCTAAGACAAATAGATGCAGCTATATTCTATAAAACCTAGCTAAAATAATTCAGAAATGTTTTCAAAGTGAGTAACCTGACATGCGTAACAAACCTTATTCTTTCACTGGTCTTTCCAGAGGACAGCTTAGAATGTTCTATTTCAATCTTCTTGCTCTGAATGATTTTCCTTAAAGCCTTGGCATCTTTGTATATTTGGGAACCAGGCTCGTTGAACGTGCATGCGTTACGGGTCATCTGAAGTAGATCTTTCTCCATTTCATTCAAATTTGTGTACTTAGAGTCTTGAATTTTACGAGCAATCATTCTTAGGTCTATTGGATTATCTATCACTTCATAGTATTTTGGATATCTCTGCAACAAATAATTGGACATATTGGATCTTTATAGTGAACAAAAACATTGATGTTGTGTTGTTATTCATATGTGTTTGAAAACATATGGTGTTAGAATATTATTTGTTTAGTTTTTGTTGGTAAACATTCTGAATCTGGTTTATTGTAAAAGCTACCTAATAAAGTATTTGTCTTATTAAAACTATATTTTAATTTAACTTGCGATAACACTACATGGTGGCAGCGGGCTTTTTATTGTTTTAGCAATATACAGTACATGAAGATGAAAAGTTTTAGTGTTCCTACCCCAGAACATTTTGATTTTAAAGGAGAAAACTGGTCTAAATGGAAAACCCGTTTCTTGCGCTTTCATGCGGTATCTGGGCTCACCAATGAAGACGAACCATATCAGGTAAACACCTTACTATATATGATGGGCGAAAAGGCCGAAAGCATATTTGAATCATTTAATTTGACATCTGAGAAATGTAAAAGTTTCAAAACTGTTTTAAAAAAATTTGATACATATTTCGCTCCTTCTAAAAATGTAATCTTTGAGAGGTACATGTTTCATACTAGGGTTCAACATGAGGAAGAGCGTGTTGAGAGTTTGATTCATGATCTTCATGAGATGGCTTCTAGATGCGATTTTCCTGCTTCTTATAAAGATGAGGCTATACGAGATCAACTTGTTGTAGCGATTAGAGACAAAATTTTATCTGAAAAACTACAAATGAATGCAGATCTAACCCTTAATTCTGCTGTCTCAAATGTTAAGCAAGCCGAATCGGTTAAAATGCAACAATCATTGATGAGGTCCGGGTCTTCTGAACATGCACTAACTGCAGATAAAGTCACTTCAAGGACTTGGGGCACTAAATTTGCTCAGAAACCTCCAGTTGATTCCAAAGCGTCCAGTATCAATTACTATAATCAATGCCAGTGGTGTGGTAACGCTCAACATGAACGACCAAAATGTCCTGCCCGGAATATTTTCTGTCGAAACTGTAACAGGAAGGGCCATTTTGCTAAATGTTGCCAGTTCAAAAATGTCAAGGAAATAAATTCAAACCCTCTTCAAGATGAAGTTATTAAGAGTGACAAATTTGTGGGGTCTGTTAATCCTCAAAAGAATCCTAAAGCAAAATGGTCTGCTGAAGTTAAACTAAATGGAGTATGTATTCAAGCTAAGATAGACACTGGAGCTGACGTTTGTGTCTTGCCCCAATCACTCTATAAGTTGAAATTATTTATGTACCCACTAAATTCAAGTAACAAAGCTAAAAGTTTTAAAAAAATTTGATACATATTTCGCTCCTTCTAAAAATGTAATCTTTGAGAGGTAGCCTACATGTTTCATACTAGGGTTCAACATGAGGAAGAGCGTGTTGAGAGTTTGATTCATGATCTTCATGAGATGGCTTCTAGATGCGATTTTCCTGCTTCTTATAAAGATGAGGCTATACGAGATCAACTTGTTGTAGCGATTAGAGACAAAAGTTTATCTGAAAAACTACAAATGAATGCAGATCTAACCCTTAATTCTGCTGTCTCAAATGTTAAGCAAGCCGAATCGGTTAAAATGCAACAATCATTGATGAGGTCCGGGTCTTCTGAACATGCACTAACTGCAGATAAAGTCACTTCAAGGACTTGGGGCACTAAATTTGCTCAGAAACCTCCAGTTGATTCCAAAGCGTCCAGTATCAATTACTATAATCAATGCCAGTGGTGTGGTAACGCTCAACATGAACGACCAAAATGTCCTGCCCGGAATATTTTCTGTCGAAACTGTAACAGGAAGGGCCATTTTGCTAAATGTTGCCAGTTCAAAAATGTCAAGGAAATAAATTCAAACCCTCTTCAAGATGAAGTTATTAAGAGTGACAAATTTGTGGGGTCTGTTAATCCTCAAAAGAATCCTAAAGCAAAATGGTCTGCTGAAGTTAAACTAAATGGAGTATGTATTCAAGCTAAGATAGACACTGGAGCTGACGTTTGTGTCTTGCCCCAATCACTCTATAAGTTGAAATTATTTATGTACCCACTAAATTCAAGTAACAAAGCTTTAATTGGGCCTGACGGATCTGTCCTTAATATCTTAGGCGTATTCGAGGGTACAATCCAGTACAAGAATCAATATTGTAAGTCTCAGTTTTATGTAATATCTGGTGCTGATAGAACCCTTTTGAGCAATGAAGTTAGTGAAAAATTGGGTCTAGTTAAAAGGATGTTTCGAGTCAACTCAACTGGCTCATTTGATCCTTTTACATCATACCCTAAACTTTTCAGCGGTCTTGGTGATACACAAGCTCATTATAATATAAAATTAAAGCCAAACGCTGAACCGTACTCTCTCAAAGTTCCAAGGCGTGTTCCCCTACCCTATAAAGATGCTGTAAAAAAAGAACTAGATGCAATGTTGGATAAAGGTGTTATCGTGAGAGTAGACACTCCGACTGACTGGTGTTCACCTCTTGTCATTGTCCCTAAAAAGGACAATTCAATAAGACTTTGCGTAGATTTTACTAAACTTAATGAGAGTGTTAAACGAGAACTATATCCTGTGCCCTCTGTAGACTACACTCTGGGACAATTGGATGGTGCTAAGGTGTTCTCGAAACTAGATGCTAACTCGGGTTATTGGCAAATACCCATAACAGAAGAAGCTTCATATTTGACTACTTTCATCACACCTTTTGGAAGGTTCAGATTTTTACGACTTCCATTCGGGATTTCCACTGGTTCAGAAGTATTCCAGCGTCAAATGTCTGAATCACTTGAAGGCCTTCAAGGTGTTGTTTGCCATTTCGATGACATAACTATATACGGGAAAGATATGGAAGAACATGACAAAAATTTACATCGTGTTTTGTGTAGGCTCCAGGAAAAGGGCTGGACACTTAATAGATCAAAATGTGTGTTCCGGCATGACAGTATCAGTTTACTAAGCCACCTTGTAACTAAAAATGGTATTAAGCCAGATCCCTCTCGTGTTGAGGCTATCCAAAAATTCAAGACACCAACTAATGTTAAAGAAAAATTGACCTTGAAAAATCACTGACCATTGCAGCTGAAGCTGGTAACTTTCTCTTGGAGGAAAATGAAAAACTCAAACAAAATATACATGTTTTAAAAATGTCAAAAAGTAAAGAGCAGATAGAATTAGAATATAAAATCAAAGATCTTGAGGAAAAAATCAACAACCTAACCGAAGAGTTTGTTTTTAAGGAGAAAGCTGTATTACATCAGCTAGAAACTGTAACTACAAAAATGAAACAAGAAAGACAAACTTATGAAGAGTTTATTTTACAACTGGAAAATGAAAGGAGTAAGATAGTATCGGAAAAAGAACAACTAATAAAAGAAATGGGCCACCGTGATAAACTCAACAGCAAAAAAATCACTAATTTAGAGATGGAACTGAAGAGCTACAATAAGCATGATGATAATTTTGAACATGAAACACACAAGTCTTCTGTGAATGACAGGACCAACTCAAAGCAAGATGCAATAACACAAACTGAATCAAGACTACACTTCATAGTTTCTTTATTGAATAATGAATGGGTTACTGATGATACGATTCAAAAATACTTTCAGATAATTACCAACACAGTCATACAACACCAAGATAATTGCTTTCTTCTTAGTCCAGTTGCCTCACAGGCCATAAAAGCTTTAGATGATTATAAGTGTATTGTAGAGCCACTCAAACTTCACGAGAAATCACACATTGTCATTCCAGTAAATGATGCTGGAGTTTCTGTCACCGTGTCAGGGTCGCACTGGAGTCTTTTGTATTATAATAAAGCAGCTAATACTTTTTATTACATTGATTCTATAAATCAACAGAATGTAGATTCAGCCAGGTTGATATTTACTAAACTATCACAAAGTTTGAGCCTAAACAATCCTATGTTTAAAGTGTTAAACTCTCCCCAGCAAAAGAACTCTTATGACTGTGGAATTTATATGCTCCTGATGGTAGATTGGATTATTACTTCTGTTCTTCTGGATAACAACTTCAAAGAAGACACAATGCCCAACATAGTCACTAAGGATGTAATACACAAAAGATCAGTACTGTCATACTTATGGCTAAGCTCTGATACAAATGATCTAGATTCAGCGCTCATAAAGGAACTAATGTTCAAGAACTACAATGAAGATAGTAGATGTAATGGACACCTATATGGCAAAAAAGAGGAAAGAATTAAAGGGAAAATAAATCTGAACTCCTGGCAAGCTGTTCACTCTGCTTCCAGAAAACACAGATGTTGCAAGCCAAAACGAAAAACAAGAGATAGTTCTATCACTTTATCCAATAGATATGGAATTCTCGAAGGCAAATCAGAAACAGATATAGCTAAAACAAACCACCCGGATAAAGGATTGAATAAACTAACAGGAAAAAATTCAAATAATACAAAGGAGACTGTTCTTAAGCAACAAACTCCACATCGACAAAAGATCCATAAAAAATGTTCCAAAAAAATACATTTAAAGTTACAGCGTCTCAGAAACCTACCATTGAGCACAAGAAAACTATTCCAGTGGATCCAGCAAACTTAAAAGATAAAAATAAAAGTAAACTTACAAACAAACAATCAACCAAAAAGCCCATGCTGTATGTAACAGGTGACAGCCACGCTAGAGACTTTGTACAGCTCCTAACTCCACTGTTTCCACAACATAACGTCACATCAACTTATTATCCTGGAGCATCTTTTGATTATGTATTAACCCAATTAGAGAGACTCATAAACAAGTTTGATAAAAATGACCGAATAATACTTATAGGTGGAACTAATAAAACAGACTCTCAACATCAACATAATATTCTTATAAAACTAGATAAGATGATAAAAGCATTCAAGGCTGAGATTGTATTGACTGAACTGCCATATTTATATCATCAACCGTACGATGGCAGAAAGTTCTTTGAAATAGAAAAATGCAACTCAGAACTATTAGCGCTATCAATACACAGTAATGCTAAATTTCTCATTTTCAACC